TATATATATATATATATATATATATATATATATGTATGTATATACACACACACGTGTGTGTGTGCGTGTGTGTGTTGTCAATGGACCTTTATTTTATTTATATGTAGTGCTGAGAATTGAACCCACATGCTAGGCAAGCACTCTACCACTTAGCGACAACCCCAGCCCCAAAATGAAATCTTTGATAGTGACAACAGCTAAACTATCAAAAAAAAAAAAAGGTAGGAAGAAAGGAAGAAAAGAAGGCAGGATAGGATGAATAGGATAAAAGTGAGACGGGGCAAAGCATAGGTAGGAAAGACAGGGACGGATTTTCAAGGAAAAGGAATTGGGATACTAACACCTCTGGATAACACTTCCCTGCTCAACTGGCTGATAACATCTCCAGTGAGGGGTAAGAATCACACTTCCTGACACAAGGCATTACCCTCCTGGGGCTACTCTTTCCTGCCTTTGGGCACCTATACAATAAAAAAGAGAGGGTGGGGGGTCTATAAAAAGATAAGACACATCCCCCATTGGCATCAGCTCTTCTTCCCTATCTCTGTTGGTCTCTGTGTTTGCCTTGAATTTCTTGGGCATTTAATCTTCAACACCAGGGGAATTAGCACCCAATCCTGATTTCCAAAACTGGAATTTCAAGAATGAATGGGAGAGAGAAAAGGAAAGAAACCTCATGACAAAACTCTAAAAGATGCTCAGGCAACTGAAGTTTTGAATATTGTTCACATAACATTCATTATAATATGCTGCAAAAACAGTCCACACAGTAATAAAAGCTGACTCAAAACACAGCTATCATAATTGTATGAAAGATGAAAAGCACAATAACTGCAAAGTATCTTCTTAATGAAGCCTAACTGAGCTATGACAAGTTATGTTTTAATATGAAAATGGGTAAGTGGCTTCTATATTTATTCATTGTGTTGGTGCTTTCTTTGCCACACTGCATTTTGCATGTTACAGTTACAAAGCAGCAAGTATTTTAAAACCTAGAAAAGTGAGCATACTAACAAAAACACCATACTAAGGATTTTCATTATTCAAACAGAACATTTTACTCTGATTTTACAAACTAATCTTATTAGAATTCAAATTATTTTTTACTGTTACCTTATTCATTTACTACAAAAAAAAAGTTTTACCCAGTAATAGTGACTAATTTAAGGATGTCATAGGAAACCTAATTTTGTACATTTAATATGAAAATAACTTTATAATCTTACTGATAAGCCAAATAACATATTAATATAATGCAGATTATCTAAAAATTATAACCAGAAATAACTATAGTAATTAGGTATGTCTAGGAAAATTTTTCATTGTAACTTTATAAGCATATGGCATTTCTGAATTCTATTTTCTTTGTTTCAAGTAATTTTATTTAAAAGACAGAAAGCCTGTTTTATATAGAGTCAGTATTTCTATTGTTTATTCTTCACCACATTACATGTTTCAGATTGCTACAAAAAAAAAAAAGTACATAATGATTACACTAACCCAAGTTTTTAAAATTTGTATATTGATTATATGTAGATTTTTCAAAAGTACTGTTGGCTGACTTCAAATATCATTTCATTTTTTTTAGAAATTATATTACTTTTTATTGCTACTTAAGGCATTTAATCTTGGCATTAAAAATAAAAGGTAGAAAGAAAAATGTTTCTACATGAAGAGAACAAAAAAGTCCCACCTGTTTCAGCCTCATGAAGAAAGTCTCCGTGAAAGTCTTTCTGCTGAAATACCAAAAACGTTCGTTTGCAGGGTACACACGTGCCACTGCCTCCAGGAGGAAACGGACAGGCTCCACCACCTCTGTGACCACCATATCCACTGCCACCGTCATGTACACACGCTTATCTGTGGTAGAAATATTCTGGAGTTTATGTTGACTTTATTATTCTTTGATTAAAACAACAAAATTCCCACACTTATGAAAAAAATTAAGGTTTCTTTTATTTTAGATTCTTTTACCTTTATTTTATTTATTTTTTTAATATATTTTCAGTTGTTGATAGACCTTTAATTTATGGACTTATTTATATGTGGTGCTGAGAATCAATAAAAAGCAATAAAAGTACCTCACACATGCTAGGCAAGCGCTCTACCATTGAGGCACGACCCAAGCCACAAAATTAAGGTTCTTTACAATAATATTACTTTCTATATATTTATTTTTGAATGCTTTCTTACCATTTTTCTTATTTTTTTTTCTTACCACTTTGATAAAATAGGTAACTAAGTATTTCAAGTCTGTTTCTCAGAACTTATGATCCTATCTTAATCAAGTGTCTGAAGTTCCTGACAGCTGTCTTTTTCCACTCCTCAAATCTCAACCTTAATATAAAAATAAATAAAAACTGGGCCAAGGGTATGGCTTCATGGTAGAGCACTAGTGTGAGCAAGGCTATGGATTCAATCACTAGCACCATAAAAATTAAATAAATAAAATTTTCAGGATATGCTTTACTTGAAAACTATCAGATTTCTTATATCATTATATTCTTATTTCATCTTAAAAAGCAAAATAAGAGAAATTGTTACTTTTTTAGTTATAGCTTGGTTATTCCATTCCACTTTGTAATTTCCTGATGCTCTTTAATTTTTTTTTTTAATTTTTTTAGTTGAACATGAACACAATACCTTTGTTTTACTAATTTATTTATTTTATGTGGTGCTGAGGATCGAACCCAGTGCCTCACATGTGCAAGGCAAGTGCTCTACCACTGAGCCACAACCCCAGCCCCTCTTTAAAATTTTTTAATTAATTTTATCCACTGTTTTTTAGTTCTCAAGGAAAAATGAAAACAAACAAGCCCACCATTAGAAGAAATCTTCAATACTGTTTTTTAAGACATTTTATAAAATCTACACTCATTAACTACACTTACACTGATATCATAAATTGGACATTTTTTTATACTAAACAGTATTACACTTGCCAATTCAAAAGAAACTAATATGTTCTAGACATTTTTCCTAAACTAGAGGGCTTTAAAGGGAGTAATGTAGAGAGTAACAGAGGATACAGAATAATACTCAACTGGATTGAGCACAGTGAAAGATCCAAGACATTTCATCTCTTAGGGCATAACAATCTTTTGTAAAACTGAAACCTTACATGACTCATGGATTCTGTGAGTAATGTATAATTTTAAGGACACCATATGGAAATTTAGAAATCAAAACATTTTAGAAATCAAGGCATTTAGAAATCAAGGCAACATGTCTGTGTAGCATATGAAATAATTTTAAATTTAAAATATATTATATTTTGAATCTGAATATTACTGTGATATAGCACTGTTGTTTTAATAGAACAGATAAATTATCTTTTGAGGATGAAATGTATATTAAAATACAAAATGAAACAGAACTATGTGTTACATTAAAAGCAAGTAGGAGCTACTTTTACAACTTAATATTTGAAATTCCTATATTTTATTCTTCAAAATTATCCATCTGGCTTATTTTTCTCATTTTTTGTATTTTCTGAATGACTATAAGAAATTATATACTGGTATTTACAAGCCTGTCTCAAAAAATAAACTAAGTGTAAGAATAATTTATTGCTAAAAATATAAAAAGCTTTCAGAGTGGCTTTCTCTTTTTAACCCTCACTTTCAGACAGTTTGTTATACTATCAAATACATGCAATTTAAAAGAACTGGTAAGTACTCTCTTTAAGGAAAACAGAGAATAATCATTATTTTAATGTTCTTCATTAGAATATATTTCCATATTAATATTCATTAATGCTTCTTCTCTTTAACCAAAAATCTACTGTGGATAAAAACTAAATGATATAAAATTCAATACAAAACAAATTGATCCACTGTATTCTAAATATAATATTTGTTTGAATGACAAGAAAGTATCTAGGGTAAGACTATAACTCATCAAGTAAAACATTAAATTTACTTTAAAGGCAGACAGGAATGAAGGGTCAAAAAACACAGGCAGTTAGCAGATGCTGGACAAAATAGGAATAAAAAACGAAATGGGAAAAATGAGAAACATGATTATTTATTATTTATAAATTTCTATCCAACACTAGACATGTTAAATAAAATTTTTAAAAAAACAACATGTAACCAGAGAAAAAATGTTTACTACCAATGAAGTCCTTAATATATACATATTGCTAGGATCCCAAAGATCAAAATACTACAACCAATAATTGACAAAATGAGGGGAAAAAAAAGTAAGTAATCTGTAATATAAAAAAGGTTAAATAATAATTGAAGCCGGGTGAAACAGGAGGATTGTGAGTTCAAAGCCAACCTCAGCAACTTAGTGAGGCCCTAACCAACACAGCAAGACCCTGTCTCTAAATAAAAAATAAAAAACAGGCTGAGGATATGGCTCAGTGGTAAAGCAACCCTAGGTTCAATCCCTGGTACAAAATAATAATAGTAATCGAAGATATGCAAAATTCCAGAATGTTGGCATTTATCAATTCTATAATCATAAATGAAGCACAAAGCCCAAATGCCTTCTACATAATCTAATAAAATTAATTCACATGTATTTGGGAGAATTTTTTTGAATGATAAGTATTTTCCAATAGTAGTATAAAGTATGAAGGAAACCTGAAATTCTAAATAAGAATATCTGCATTTTAAATAAGCAACGGAATTTTTCTTAAAACAAAACAATACAAGATTGTTCATATTTTGAAGTTTAAAACAAATAATAAGATATCTACTAGGAACAGTCACCTTTTGGGGTTTCTTCATTTAGTGCCAAAAACACTGGTGCATTAGGGTTCCACATGCCAGTAATAACATAAGCTCTCCCATCATGGCTCTTTCCCATCGATTCCTGTAAAATTCAAACAGTACTCACTGATAATTTGCACATCAAGAAAATCACTGCTTTAAATTACTTCTTACTTTATCTCACATATTAAAATTTGAATTTACAATTGAACAGATGTTTTATTTTCTTTGTAAGTTTTTATCACCCTACAAAAATATTTCCTTAAATAATATTAAATAATATTATTATTTAATATTATTTTTCTACAGCTTTATTTGAGCATAGTTTCTGTGTAGAGACATGCACTTCTTGGATAAAAGGAGGCATGGCCAAACATGCTGAATCACAAAAGCACAATGTTGCTATGAAATTTAACTTGATCTTATGTTGGTTGTCAAAATCCAGTTACCTCCCCATATAACGATAAACATAGTCTCTATTAAAACTATAGTCCCAATTTTAATATATTCCTAAAATATTTCTTTATAGCAAGTAATACCTTCAAATTTATTGCTCCTCTAAATTTATTGCTCCTCTATTATCCATGTCAGACATCCATATACTTTCTAATAATTGTAAATCAATATTAGGAGACCAATTTTGGCTTGTAATTAACACTCAAGTTTATTAAGGGTGCAGCATGAGAGAACAACACAAAAGCATACAAATATATGCATATGCAAAGAATAGTATCTACAGTATTGCAATACTCTGTATTTTCTTTTGTTGTAAATAGAGTGCTAAAAGGGTTAATGGAAACAAAGAGAAAAACCTTTTTGCATTATTACCTCCCTCACAGATGCTTCTCAGAATCCCTATAAAACCTGTTTGGTAATCAGTATGTATATTTTTCTATATATTAGTAAAAATTCACTGATTAGATTATATAGTTTGAGTGCAAGAACCTTGCCTTCCAGACACAAAGTACACTAAAGTTCATCATTTGAAAACCCACTCAGCACCTCCAACCTATATATAAATATATAAATTATATATAGCCTTATCATTATCTCTTTCAGTCTCTCTCTCTCTCTCTCTCTCTCTCTCTCTCTCTCTCTCTCTTTCCTTTTCCCTCCCTCTCCCCATCCATGCCCCCACATAGGCCCCCATTAAGAGCAGCAATGGGTTTCTGACCCAAAAGACTCTAATCCATTTCTGGACCGGAATTTTCCAGTGCCTAAGTCCAACAAGATAAGCTACACAAGCTCCACGAATCAAAATCTCTCCTTCAATAAGCAAATACCAAGGAAAGTGGATAGTTAGCAATGGAAGCTGAAAGGTTTTAGTGAGAAGTTAGGCTATGAACACCACATATAAAACAGTTATATTGAAGTTATTATGAAGCAGGAAAAATACATAAGTATAGCAAAGAATTAGGAAACTGTTAAGTGGAAAAAGAGAAATGAAGAAAATACACATAATCCTTAAAAATTATAAATCATGGAGGTAAAAAACAAAGGCAGATACTGAGAGGTGAAAATGAGAAGAGGAAGATGCAAAGAGAGTGGACTGGTCAAAAAGAAAGGGGCAGAAGGGGCCAGGGACAGAGCAAGCAGGAGAGAAAGCAGCAGCGTCCATCACACCTGTGAGGATTAAGGGCTGCTTCATGGAACTTGAGCTTCTTATACATACATTAGAAGGATACTGGGTCAGAATGTACTTCTAATTGTGGGTACAGCTTCTGGTTTAGTATCAATAAATGGTTAATTTTAAAGATCCATTCCTGAAGCATATAGGACTTTTTAAATTGTGTTCCAATTCCAAGAAATCTGGCTCTGCTGTCTTTTCTACTTTTCTTGGTAGCTTGTTATTAGGCTTTTCCTAGATATTAAAAGCTAAGGGTCGAAAATTCTTATTTCCTTTTTCCTACACTATAGCTTCCTTGACCAAAAATATTCTTCTCCTCCCTACTGGAAGAAAACTGAGTCTTTGTTACTTGTACTGCCATACCCAAACTAATTTTGTATATTTGATTTTAGTATTGCATGACAAGTAACAAAGACTCAGTTTTGTTCCAGTAGGGAGGAGAAAGAA